CCAAGCAGGGGTCCTTGTACCATGAGATGGGTGAGTGGAAGTGCGTCCTGGGACCTAACGGGAAGCTGAGTTGGGGGCTTCACGGGAGCCTAGATGATGGAAGCAGAGAGGCCGCACACTTTGGGCTAAGGCAGAACTCTGGAGACCCAGGTCCCACCAGTTCTGCGGTATTCCCTTCTTTTCTCCAACTCTTCTTAACGCCACCTCCACCAGAGTTCAAAGCAAAACCCCACAGACCCAGATTCATTTCACGGATTGTTCTCCTAATTTCTTCTTTTCTGTTTCCTTCCTGCACGCGGATTCCTGTCTCTCCCTCTGACCCGTCACTTGCCTGGCTCTGCTTTCGTTCTCCTCTTTCTTGATTTCTTCATCCTCTTCTGCCCACCCCCATTTCCCTGTCCACCTTGCCCCCCGTACCCTGTAGACTTGTCAGAATCTGTGGCCCCAGGGGGCCCAGATGAGGGGCCGCTCCTGCAGGATAACGCGATCTCGGCTGAGATCCAGGCTTTGCTTTCATATGACAGTGACAGGTGATGCTCAGGGCTGGGGCGGTCTGGGACCTAAGCGCTGACTAGCCCCCTCCCCTCAACCCCTTCCTGGTGCCACAGCTATTGAGCCACTGGATGACATCGCAGCAGTGACAGACATCCTGGCCCAGCGGGAGGGTGCAAGACTGGAGACACCCCCACTCTGGCTAGCAATGTTTACAGACCGGCCTGCCCTGCCTGACTCCTGCTCGCCTGCTTCAGTGGCCCCAACCCCAGCCCGGATCCATTCCCTGCCCTGGGGGAGACCTCGAACATTCTCCCTGGATGCTGTCCCCCCAGACCACTCCCCTGGGGCTTCTCGCTCAGTTGCCCCTCTCCCCCCGCAGCGATCCCCACGGTCCAGAGGCCTCTGCAGCAAAGGCCCACCCCACACGTGGCTCCAGTCACCAGTGTGAGAAAGGTGCTGGCAGCAGGATCTGGCCCGAAGAGAAGATGACCTGTGTGTGGCTGGCTGTAGGTACAGCGCTGTTTGGAGCAGACTGGCCAGCCTGGCCTCCCTCCCTTTGTTGGACTGGGGGTGGGCTGGGGAAGGGAGCAGAAGCCCCTCTTAAGCTGTGGCTGCCATGGTGCTGAGGGACTTGCTCCCAGGACTGGCTGAGACCCCCCAAACCCTTCCTGGGAGAAAACTGGAACCACCCCTGCCCTACCCCCCTGCACTAACCGGCTCTGAGGATGGCACTGAAGAGCCCCGGGAGGGAA